ACCCGCTAATCACTATTCCATTGAATTAGAAGAGTTGTGTTGGGATAGGTAGATTAACTCTTGCACATTAGCAAGTGACGCCTACATTACAAAGAAAAACTAAAAAACTAAGCAAAAATAATATTTCATAAGAATACGTCCATAATAAAAAATGAAGTATGATTGTTTGTCCACATCCTGGACTGGGAGAAATCACTAGACAATTGAAAGACAAAAAAAGAATAACGGTAGAAAGTGTTGAAAGATCTACAACAAAAGACTATGTCAACTCGAATGCGAAGTCCCTTCGTTCCCATCTCGCAATGTGTGCCCGAATGTCTTGGATTGAGGGGCTCCGCTCTCTCTTCTTTTACGCTACGCTAGATACTCATTGAAACTCGAAGGATTGATAGAAAGGTATTCTGCAGATATCCACTTCTTGGTCAATTTGATGGACGCCACCGTCGCCTTTCCCCCGTATGAATGTAGGGCCTTAGGATAATCGAATGAGGGTTTATACTGCTCCATAGACGCCTCCAAATCCTTAGCATACTCCACTGAAACTTTATATCACTCTACTACCTCCTCGGGAGCTCGAGCTAAAATAGATCGCTGGTTATCAATTTTTGTCTCCTGCTCGCGAGATTGAGCTTCTAAAGCTTCAAGAGACTTCTTCAAAGAAGAAACTTTCTTCTTTTAGTGGTGAGCTTCCTTCTTTTTTTTCCTCTGTGAGAGCTTTTAACTCCGATAACTGACGACGGCTCGACTCAACAAGTCTATTTTGTAAGGTCACGACCTAACAAACAAAGAGGTAAAATGATAAACAACCATTAGGCATGCTGGAGAGAATGAACCAACAAAAATGATTAAGTATAGCGAGAAGCGTGCCCTCTAAGTGTAGACCTCCAGAACCCTTTCTACATCATCAGCACTTCGCTCAGCAATCGATCGGCACAAGCAGGCGTAACCAAAAACCTGAGTATCCTCATCTAGGGATAGCCCTGAGTGGGGGGAATCCAAAATCCGGAAGAGGTGAGTCCCATCGCCCTCAGAACTAACACTCGAGTTGTCCCCTCTAATCTCGGGCAGTAGGATAGCTTCGACGGGCTCATTCAAAGGTTGGGATGTCTCCTCGATGGCACGACATATTGTCCCTCCATCAGCAGTTTTCATTTTTTTTTCAATGAAACCGAGTTAGGTCGATATCACTCTCATGTTCGTGCTCGGGCATGAAGTCCATGGTCTCTTCTAGGTCTAATTACATACCTATATACACAAGGTAAAGTCCATTAAGCTTAGAAAACAAAAGGTGAAGGTGCGCACAAATATGAAATGAAAAGCAAAATATGTGAGAACCAATCGTCAGCATGGATAAATCCTTCATTGCTCCCCGACGCGGGCAGAGACTCAATACCTTATCTAGATCAAAGTCCAAATCTTTATGCACAAAATTGAATTTATCAAAAAAAAAAAAAACAGAGAGAAAAATAACTAGTAAGAATGTATACAAGTGTAAAAGTCCAAGCAGGAAAGGAGGACTTATCGGTAGGTTGACCGATCCCCAATATCAACACATTCCTCATAGTCGGAACTGATCCTAGGTCGGGAACAAGAGGTGGTGTATCAGTCACTTGTTGGATTTGTGCTCTTAGAAGAAGAGTAAGCTCGACCTGACTATTGAAGATGCGAATTTGAGGACGTTTCCAATTGGTGTTAAAAGGGAATTGACCTCCGAAAGGTCGGAAGCACGAGGGGACTTTAGAGCTAAAGAACACAAATGCATTATACTGAGCTAGCTCATGCATCTCAAAGACGCGCCTAAAAAGGTCTACTGAGAGTGAGATCTTCTTGCTGAGGCAAATGTACAAGAAATACAATGACTTCATCCAGTCATTAGGGTTTATTTGACTAGGAAAGAAGTAGAATTCATTAAAAACTGAGACAAAAAAGGATGGACGGGGAATCAAAAACCACCATCCATAATTTCTTTGTACACAGCAATCTCGCTGGGGTCGGACCTTGGAAGTCTTTCTTTGGGCCTAGGGGCTCTATAAATATAATTGTCAACAAGATCGAATTTGTTAAGTGATTTTTCCAATTTAAGTGGGGAATTATAAAGGCTATAGCATTTTGGAATCTCAAGAACCACCACCTCGCCCGTTGGATCTCGCCCAATTTCCAAGTTTTGGTTCAAAGACTTAATCGAGCCAATATGTTTCTTGGGAGAACTTGGTTGGAAAACATGGGGTTCAGTCGAATGGATTGGACTATTGGAATCAGGGAAGAATCGATCGATACCCTGAGGGAGGTCATCGGCGGGGCCGGTCGAATGCGTGCTAAGCTACCAGGAGCTGGTCGATGGTTGACGAACCAGCTAGTCGATGATATTGACCAACAAGGTTGGTCGACAGTACGGCGCCTGCTCTCAGACAGACGTCGACAGGCCCATCCGACGGTAGGTCTGTCGATTTGTTCACCCCTTCACTATCACTATCGTTGGATGAAGAAGTTAAGACGATTTTATATATGATAGGAGGAAAGACAACCAAAAAGACAAACGGAAACTAGGATGAAGGAAGAGAAAAGGAAGAGTTACCTTGAGAGTTTGGAGGAGATAATTTTTTTTTTTTCAAATATCCATGAGTAGGGGTAAAGGGAAGGTTTTCACCTACTTATATAGATGTAAATTTTAAAACTTTTTTGGGGAGCCCAGTGGGGGGAGGGAAGAGAATTTTTCCTCAAAACCAAGCCCACACATGGGGTGTCATTTGTACAGTATTTCATTACCCTACGACTCGACCCGCTTATATTGTACCAAATGTTGATATGTAAAAAAAAAAATCAATCCCTTAACAAAAGGAATGAAGATATTACCCCTTATCGATAATATCAACAAGAGGTAGAGGGCTAATGATATTAGAGACAACAACAAATGTCTACTATGACCAATAAGAAGAAGACTATTCAATCTAAACTCTACGTAGAGCACCTCGTTATAAGTCTCTCTACATTATTGTTGGACCGTCTACCGCTATGAGCCCTTTACATTCATGCTGGTCGTCTACGAAATCAATGCAATACTTAAATTATAAAAATATCATTGTGTTGACAACCAACCACTGGATAGATGGAGGTCCTCCATTCAGGATGTGGGAGTAGTGGGAGATGCTACGTAGGACACGTGTCAAGATAATTGCCCGATAGTTACATGATTTCAGACACCTATAAATACTCCTAAGGCGAGACATGTATGGTTTGAGAGACTCTAGATATCTGAACACGCATTCGATCATTTCTTCCTAATGTTACATTCTTGAATCCCTCACTAATTCTCACATCGGAGATAAAACGGAGGAAAAAGCTCAAACTTCATTTCGTAGGTAGCATTTGCTCATCGGCGCAGCAGAGGTACCTTGCATTGCCAGGAGGCCACGGGGGCTTGATTCTTAACCATTTCATATACTTTAGTGAAAAAGAAATCATCATAAAAGTATCACTTTTTAATTTTTAAGAAAACTTTTTCAAATCCTAAAATTGTATATTTTAAATAGATAGATGTATATATTACTTTTCGATCTTTTAATGCAAGAATTGTCTTCCTTCTTCAGCAAATGAATGTAAAAAAAGATTCTTATGATTGTACTGTGGGACAAATTCAGTTTTTCTTTTTATTTCTGAAAACGTATATTAGATTTAGATTAGATGGAAATGCATTTGATTTTACACGATGACTTGTATTTTGATAGATATTTAAATAGTTTTTTGTTCCATTAATTTGATGAATACTTAAAAAGTTTGACACTTATTAAACAAGACCCCTTGCAGATTTTTTAATGGCTTAAGATGTCTAAGAGAGTATCCCAAAAACTAATCAAGCAAAAGAAAAATAATTGAGTAAGATGTTGCGATAAAATCTTGCAAGTGGATAGTATCGTGAATATATGATAAAAGTGATGAATATAGCATCATTTTCAGGAAATTGTATATTTAATCTGAACTCAAATAACCATAACTTTAATTCAAACAAACACATATTCAAAGATTTGGATGTGTTAAGTTCAAATTATAATTGGAAATTTTCTTAGTCAAAATCAAGTTCTAGTTGAACTGTATTAGGAGTTTATTGAGTTGTAATCAAAGTCAAAATATGAGTTATTAAATCCTAAGTAAAGTCAAAAGAGTTAGGGTTAATAGTATAGTTTTTGAAGGAGTTCAAGATGCCAAGAAGATCAAATATGATCTCGAGAATAATTAGAAGTCTAAAGAGTGTCAAAAAGTCTCACAAATTATGTTCCAAATTTTCAGTCGCAACTTGTAACACATTTTTCATATAGAAAATATTGGAATTTGGGCAAGGCTATTATTTCTAGAAGAATTGTAGTTATTTGAGTTAGTTTCAACGTATTCTGAATCAACTCAATCGGATATCGAGAGATAAGGTTATGATGAAAATATTGACTATTGCTCAACTGCTGCTCGCCTTTCCCTGGCCTAAAGCTCAAGTGAGGTAGTTATCCGAAAAACAGTAATATTCAATTTTCAAGATGATATTGAGTTCCTTTACATCGCAAACACTACCCATTATAAATATAAACCCTATGTGACGTCCAAAAGTGTGGTTAAACAATATTTTAATTATAGAGATCATTCTTTGAATATCTAAATACTCTTTCATTGATTCTTTGATTCAACCACAACATTATTTGTTCATTATTCAACCCATATATGGGTCCAATTAGTATAGCCTTATTGTAAGTCAAAAGTTTATTTTTTGAAAGCCAAAAACATGTCTCAATATCTCTTACATCAACCTACAAGATCAAAACACACAAGATTTTTTTGATCAAACACCAAACCAACGGGTCTATCAGAGATAAATCGATACCAAATATCGAGAGTTGTTGCAGAAGCATATATTGAAGAGGACTAAGGTGAGACACCATTTTTGTTTTAGTTTTTCCAATATGATAAAATGATCATTTGGGCATGTTGCTTCCTTAAAGGTTATTCGCAATAAGCATATGGGTTTCTCTAAGGGGTATGGATTTTTGGAATTTTTTACACGTGCTGCTGCTGAGAATGTTTTGCAGACATATTCTTGTATTGCTATGCCTAACATCGATCAAGTTTTCAGGTTGAATTGGGCTACATTTAGCATGGGTGATAAACGTTCAAACAATGGTTCTGATCTTTCTATCTTTGTAGGAGATTAAGCTGCAGATGTTACAGGTAACTTACTGCATGAAACTTTTTCTGGTAACTATCTCTCTGTTAAAGCTGCATAAGTTGTAATTGATGCCAATACTGGTCATTTGAAAGGCTATGGTTTTGATAGGTTTGGGGATGAAAATGAAAGATCACGGGCTATGATTGATATGAATGGTGTATATTGTTTGAGCAGGCCTATGCAGGGGCAGAGCTGGCCCGTTGAAGTAGGAGGTCCCAGAGTTGAAGGGTGGGGGCTCACGGGAGTTCGGGGGCAGCGCTCCCGATTTTTTTTTTTTTGAGACATTATGTGTTAAAATGAGGAAAGTTGGTATTTTATGATAGAGAAAGGAAACAACGGAACATAAATTAATCTCATACTTTGAAAAATTAATACCAATGTCAAAAGCTTGTATAATAAAGGGCATATTTCATTTTTTTTTTGTCACAACCAACTTTTGTGCAAGGTCACAAAGGCCTTGTAATCCTACAAATTTTGGATTAGTTAGGAGATAACTAAAAAAAAAAAAATTTTGAGCCCAAAAAATAAAAAATAAAAAAATTTGTTAAAAAACTTGGGGACCCCACCTCCACCCCTGGGCCTATGTACATTGGTGCCGCAACACCCAAGAAATCATCTGGATACCATCAGCAATACTCGTCGTAAGGTCTTAACAATCCCTTGCACATTTTAGTCGATTTTTTGGACTAGGACTTCTTACTTTTCTTTCTTTAAACTCGAGGAAATTTTGAATTTACTGTTACTTATTGTTGGATTTCTTTATTGCTCTCTCCTTGCATTTCTTCTATGTACGGTGGTTCTGTTTTCACTTTATACTATTTATAGTTTGTCATTTTGAGAGCAAATTCTTTGACATGTATTAGCTTTACAACTATATCAACACATTTTGTGAGATCCACTAGTACTACCCATTTATCCACAAATGTTTCTATTTATTTATAACTTAAACTGCTAGCTTTAAATATATTTTGACATAAATAATGCAGAGGAAGCATTGCAAAAATTGAATGGTACAGTAATTGGCAAGCAAACTGTACGGCTTTCTTGGAAACGTAATCTAGCAAATAAACAGGCAACCACTTTTCTGCCATCTTCCTCTCGCTATCCTACACTGTCTCTTTAATATGTCAAGTGTGTGAATCGAAAAAGTCTTAATGGCTTTTAGTTGAGCCTAACTATCGAGTTATGTTAAGGTCTTTCGAACATATCTTGTTAGAGGACGAGTAATATTGTTGAGGAAATTGTTGGAGTGTTTTATTAAGAAATGGTTCTATCAATCACTCAGGTGAGATACAGGTCAATTGAAATTTCATATTTTTCTCATTCTTACTAAGCTCAAAAGTTACTTTTTGAGAAATAAGTCTTGTTAGTAAAAAAATAAAATAAAAAAATAACCATTGAAATTATGTATGCCCAAGAAAAAAAAGCTTAAATGTCACTTCTTTTTAAGCTTTAGCCAAATATGCTCCTACTTCGTCCTCAGATCAAGACAGATTCTAAGTTGTAACGCTAGGACACACAATATTAAACCAAAACCATGAAGTACTGAATGCAGAAATTAATGAATCAACACAAGAATTATTTCGGCCTAAACCCCGGAGGTTCGGCGACCAAATCAACCGCCTACATCCCCCGTTGAGCATCCAACAAGTTGGATTATGGTCAGTTGCACTAAATAGCCCCAAATTGGCAACGAAGGTTACAAATCGTTCAAACAGTACAAAAAATGAAGATAGAACACTTATCTCTCAAGTACATGAACATTGGATAATGCTCAGTTGCACTATATAGCCCCAAATTGGCAACAAAAGTTACAAATCATTCAAATAGTACAAAGAGATAAAGAAAAAACACTTATCTCACAAATATATGAACAGATCTAGGACGAATCACCAAGAAACTCCTCAGTACTTCCTCTAATATACAACCCAAAACAGAACCTTAGTTTTCACAGATATTCACACATAATATCACAATTGGAGATTTAAACTCTCACATTTTACGGGTTCAAATCAAAGATTTGAACAGAGAAGAAAACCAGACGAAGAAACCCTAAGTTTTTCTCTCAAAAGGTCAGAGGCAGGAGAGTCTCTCGAATGATCCAAAAGACGGTAAGGGTAAGTTTAAGAGACATCCAGAAGGATCAGCCAACCGCCCAGATCTGTCCACGTTTCACCATCTCAGCAATTAAAATGTGATAAAACGTTATAACAGAAAACACGCATTTGATAATTCTTTCTAGCAGCACACCATTACACCAGGGTTCGAATCCCACTTAAGTCTTATCTATAGTACATAGGAGAAAATATTATAAGCTAAATTTTACATCACATTCCAGTTATGTAGTTGTCGTAATGTTTTTGGCTACTTGCATTTATTACTTTCTGTTTCTCGATTGTGCAGCTGCGAGCTCATTTTGGAAACCAGTGGACGAGTCCATACTATGGAGGGCATTATTACGATGGCTATGGATATGCTATGCCATTCCCTCGTGCTCCAAGCATGTACGTAGCAGACAAGGCTTATCCCATGTATGGAACTCACCAGCAGCAAGTAAACTGAAGAATTTCCCAAGAAAATAACTCGGACTGTCGTGTGATTGGATGTAAAATTTAGTGCCCCCTCCAAATAAGGAGTGGAACTGAATTTTGACCAGATATGGTAGTTTTTTGAACATTTGTTCACTAGTGTAGACTTTAGCAAGAAACTTCTCAGTTGGAATAGATTATCTTCCAATGGATACGTATAAAAGTGTTGAATTCGTTGTTCACACGCATCTCTAAAAATTAAACTACATTTCTGATATGATCGTATTTATTCATTGTACAAACGTGTCGAATGCTTTGTTAGCATACTTGCAGATTTTAGCCATTTGGGAAGAAAATGTTTTGTTTTCCGTTCGATTTGGTGGGAGAAGATGGCGAAAAAGGAGGAATGGTTGCGGAAGAAGATGGTGGAAGAGGTGGTGGTAACGATGGGTTCTTCTCTCTCTCTCTCTCTCTCTCTTTTAATTATTTTATGTGAAAATATATGAAGTTACCATTTTCATTTTATTGAAATTGTTAACAACATGGTCGAAATCATTTTTTGGGTTAATTGATGGACTTATGGATGGGAATTGTCCATTTGTCCTCCAACCACTCACATTTGAAAGGTTTGAAACTGCGAGCCCAACAAATAAAAGATTATGGTAAAAATTACAATAATTTGAAAAGTTTGAGACCGCGATTACAATTATTTCTCGAAAAATGATTGATTCCCATATCTGAGTTTACAACTAAATTTACTACTAATACAGCGCCATTGTGTTATATATCGAGTTATCATTAAATTTTTACTGTCAATAACAGTGGATGAATTCCATTAAATTTTTACTTTTAATAACAATGGATGGACTCCATTCAAAAACTCTGTTGAATATTTTGATTCAAATTTCAACTAGAAAAACAAAACAGAAGATAATTTTTTTATCTCCCCTCGTTGTAATTTCGTCTTGGGGTTCGCAGCAAAAAAAATTGTTTATTTACTCTATCTACAACCATTAACTAAAATATATCTATGGTTTACTAATTGACAAGCTCCGGTATTAATCTAAGCCATATCCAAATGAAAAACGATGTGCATTTCAAGTAATTGTTGTAGACTTCTAATATGTTGACCCTTTGACTTTTTGATGAGAAAAGAAGAAAAAGAAGAAAATCAATCTTCTTATTAATAAAACTTTTAGAACCATCCAGAATTTTATGACAATTTCAGCGTCACCTCATCTAGTTTTAAAAATATAAGAAACCTCCTTTATAATAAATTTTCCATTTTACCATATGTTAAATGTACAACTAAATTTATTTATTTATTTATTTATCCTTTTTCACAAAATATTACACTTACTATATATATATTTTGTCAGAATTAACAATTTCTTTAGAAGGAATAAAATTATACATTTTTGTTGCATTTTTCATATTGTAATAAAAATATCTTAGAGCCTGTTTGGTAAAAATTTTCATTTTCTACAGTAAATCAATTCTCATTTTCAACCACACATTCTTCAATAAAATAATATTTTCCATCATATCAATACTTTTTTCTTCTTTTTCAACCACACATTTCCCATCATATCACTATTCAAAAATCAATTCTTCCCCCAAAAATCTCTACCAAACACACTCTTAAACTTAATATAGTATAGAATGACAAAATGTCCCATCCTCACAATGCCTTGAAATCGCTCCATTCCAAAAGCATACGATTATTATTTATTTTTTTTATTTTTATTTTTATTTTATTAAAAATATATAATAAAAAATTAAATAAATAGGTAAACGATGATATATGGATGGCAACGGGACATGATGGTTATCCCCATCCTCGTTACATTGAGGACGAGTAGGGTTAAATTATTTCAATTTACCTGCCATTTTTAATGATATTTATTTTAATATATCTTTCAATACAATTTCAATTGAAAAACATTAGAAAATAGTCTATGCAACGACAATGCTAGACAGGTCGAGAATGAAATTTTTTTTTTCATCCATACAAAAATATTTTCATCCCCATCCTATCTTGTTCTGTCTCACTCCACGCCCAAAAACCTCGACGAGGTCGGAGATGGGGAGGGCAACCCTAAACCTATCTCACCCCCATTTTCGTCCTATAATTGTTACAAGGGTTAATTTTACAAACGGTCCCTGAAGTTATATCAAAATAACAAAACGGTCGCTGAAGTTTAAAAATTACACTAACGAGAATGGTCACTGAAAGACCAAATGAGTTGAAACTTGAACCATGAGGACCTACATCGCAAATTTGACAAGATCCATTTTTGGCCATTTTTCCGACGATTTTGCTACCAAATTCCGGCGCCGTCCAACCTCCTAAGCCGCCGGAAATTAGCACCAGTCGAAAGCACTCCTCTTCTTCTTCAATTAGCATCCAACCTCTCCCAATTTCATCAACTTATGTAATCGGAATCGATGCTCAAAGTTCACTGCCCATAAATCTGAAAATCGCCAAATAAGTCGAGCTCTGGTCAAAATTGGCCATGACTTGGGCAAGCTGCGTCATCACCAGACGACCACGTCCATGGTTCCAATTTAACACAAAAAACATCAGAAAATTTTAATTCCGCAGCAAGTTCCTCGTCGTCGCGAATGTCGCGACACCATCTGCTAAAAACCAAAAATCCAGAGCCGTCAAACCAAGCCCCGATCGTGGACAACCTGGGATTTGATCATCTTCACCGACGCAGCTTTCCCAGGTATAGGTCATGGCCAATTTCGACCAGAGCTCGACTTATTGGAGATTTTCAGTTTTATGGATAGTGAACTTTGAGCATCGATTCCGATTACATAAGTTGATGAAATTGGAAGAAGATGGATGCTAATTGAAGAGGAAGAGGAGTGCTTTCGACCAGTGCTAATTTTCGGTGGCTTAGGAGGTCGGACGGCGTCGGAATTTGGTAGCAAAATCGTCGGAAAAATGGCCAAAAATGGCTCTTGTCAAATTTACGATGTAGGTCCTCAGGGTTCAAGTTTCAACTCATTTGGTCCTTTAGTGACCATTCTTGAAACCGACTGATACTTGAGTGACCGTTAGTGCAATTTTTAAACTTCAGTGACTGTTTTATTATTTTGATGTAACTTCAGTGACCGTTTGTGAAATTAACCCATTGTTACAATAACAAGAAATAGAGATTTTTTTTTTTGCTAACATGATTACATAAATTTGTGATATTTATTTTAGCTAAAAAAAGTTAGCATTCAAATAAAAAAAAAATTAAGAAATGAGGAAAAAAAAAACAAACTAGGATAGTCCCTACTTGATCCTGTTAAAATTATAATTTATTTTCATCTTTTTTCTTATTGACTACACATTCTCCGATAAAAAAAATATTATACGTAAATCTAAAACTTTTAGTTTTTTTTAATAACACATTCTCCAAAAAACTTATATTCGAAAATACATTTTTTTTTCAAATTCTCATTATAATGGGGTCA